TTGATTACTGTTGTTTCGTAGTTAGTCATGAAATCAGGGAGAGTAGGTCCTCAAGCTTTGTTTTCGTTATGTTAAAATATCTTTAGTTGTTCTAGATCCCTTCCATTTTAGTCAAAATTTTAAAATTATTTATCATTTTCTGCACATAACACATTACCGCTACTGCTGAAAGTTTGATTTGGATTGTACTGAATCTGTAGATCAGCTTGGCGAAGAGACCTTTTAAGCAACATCAGGTCTTAAAACACATGAGCGTGATATATCACTCCATTTATTTAGGTCATCTTTATTTTTGCTCAGCAATATTTTTTATTTTTTAGTGTATACATCTGGATATCCTTTCTTTGAGTTGATCGTAAATATTCTCATGGTTTTTGTTGCAACTCTGTATGGAATTGAGTTTTAAATTTCATTTTTCCAATTTTTGTTACTAATGTATATTTAATTGGCTTCTAATATGGTAACTTGTATTCCATGACCTTGTTAATTTCACTTGTTACTTTTAGTGGTTATTTTGTAGATTCTCTGTTAATATCTACATAAATAATCATATCATTTCTATGCAGAGAACTTTTTTTTTTCTTTTCATTATCTATTTGCTTTTAATTTATTTCTTGCTTCTTTTATTACATTGGTTCTGACCTCCAGTGTAGTGCTATATATAAGTGGTAATAATGAATGTCATTTCTTCCTTCCCAATCTCAAGCTGAAAGCAGTCAGACTTACTAGTGTAGGATTTGTTTTTTAATGATGCTTTTCTTCAGTTTAAGTAATTTACCTACTCTTCATAATGTGATAAGAGTTTTTATCAATAAGGCATCTTGCATTTTGTCAAATGCTTTTTCTGCTTGTATTGAAATAAGAGTATTTTTTCTTACTATATCAATATGCTAAATTATATAGATTGATATTTGAAGTTTTTAAAAGTTTACTTATTTATTGAGAGAGAGCGAGAGCGAGAGCGAGAGCGAGAGCGAGAGCGAGAGCGAGAGCGAGAGAGAGAGAGAGAACACAGGAGAGGAGGGGCAGAGAGAGAATCCCAAGCAGGCATTGCTCTGTCAGCATAGAACCCAATGTGGCGCTTGATCCCACAAGCCGTGAGACCATGACCTGAGCTGAAATCCAGAGTTGGATGCTCAAGTGACTGAGCCACTCAGGTGCCCTTGATATTTGAATATTACATCAAGATTGCATCCACAGCACAAACCATACTTGGTTTTAGTATATTATCCTTTATACAAAATAATTTGGATTCTAGTTACTAACATTTTGTAAGGAGTTTTTACATTCATCAGGCAAGTTGGCTTGTAGTTTGTTTTGTTTTGATTTTGGGATCAGAGTAATGCTATACTCATAAATGAGTTGGGAAATATTTCCTTTCCTATAATTTGTGTGTGTGTGTAATTGGTATTATTTGTTCTTTAAGTGTTTGATAGGATTCACCAGCAGAGTGATATGGGTCTGTAGTTTTTCTTGTGGGTAGATCTTAACTATGAATCAGTATCTTTAATAGATACTGGGCTATTTGGGTTTTCTATTTTTTTTCCCCTGAGTGAGTTTTGGTAATTTGTGCTTTACAAGGAATTTATCCATTTCATTTGGTTGTCAGATTTACTGAGAGAATGTTGTTCACGATATTAATCTTTATTAATCTTTCAATATCTGTAGCAGTTTAATCTGTCTCAATTTTGGTAATTTATTCTTTTATTTATGATCAGTTCAGTCCTAAGCTTGTAAATTTTTTTCATCTTCTCAAAACCAATTCTTCATTTTATTGATTTTTTTCTATGGCTCTAATTTTTTTTTTTATTGATTTCCATTCTGATCTTTATTATTTTCTTTCTTTTTCCTAATTTGGGCTTATTTGTTCTGGGTTGTTGTTGTTGTTGTTGTTGTTGTTTTTGTTTTTTTAATTTCTAAGGTAGAAGTTGATGTCACCATTTTATGATCTTTATTCTTCGTAATGTAGGCATTTAGTCCTGTGCATTTCTCTCTAATCAGTGGCATCTCACAAATTATGTACCACATTTCTATTTTCCTACAATTCAAAAAAACTTTTTCATCAAATTATTATGCTGTATACTTAAACTTACACAGTGCTGTATGACCATTTTATTTCAACAAAATTAGGGAAAAAATGCAATCTCTTTTCATTTCTCTTGTCCTCTTTAATTTCTTCTTTGATGTGGGGATTATTTAGGTACATGTTGTTTAATTTCCCCATATTTGGTGTTTTCCAGGTATAGTTCTTCTACTCTTGTCTTACTCAATTGCATTGGGGTCCGAGAACATATTTTGTATGACTCTGATCATTTACAATTTATTCAAAGTTGTTTTGTCTCCAAGACTATGATCTCTCTTGCTTACTGTTTCATGTGAAGCTGAATAGAATGTGTATTCTTCTCAGGGGGACACCTGGGTGGTTCATTCGGTTAAATGTCACTCTTGATCTCTGCTCAGGTCATTATCCCAGGGTCATAGGATTGACCCCCGTGTGGGGCTCTGTGCTGAGCATGGAGCCTGCTTGGGATTCTCTCTCTTGCTCCCCCCTACTCAAATGCTCTCTCTCTCTCTTTCTTTCTCTGTCTCTCTCTCCCAAAAAGGAAAAAAAAAAAAAAAAAGGAAATGTGTATTCTTCCCTTACTGGATGAGATGTAAGTTAAACTGATTGGTAGTGTTTTCCAACTCTTCTGTATACTTACTGAATTTGTATGTGTTTTCTGTCAGTTTTTGAGAAAAGAAAGTTGAAATATGAAATATCTCAATATAATTTTGTAGCTTTGCCTGTTTCTCCTTGCTGTTTGGTCTGTTTCTGTTTTAAGAATTTTGAAACTCGTTATTAGGTCTGCTTGATGAGCTGACACCTTTATTATGATGAAAAGACCTTCATTATCCCTGGTGAAATATTTTGCTCTGAAATTTACTTTGTCTGTTGTTGCTATAGCCATGCCAACTTTCTTGTTACCAGTATTACTGTGGTGTACCTTTTTGCATTGTTTGAATTTTATAAACTACTCTGTCTTGATGTTTGAAGTGAGGTTCTCATAGGTGGCTGTGGTTGAATCTTGCTGTTTATCTAATTATAAATCTTTTAATTTGGGTCACATGCCAATTATATTTAATATGATTTTTTGATATAATGAGATTTAAATCAGCCACCTTGCTACTTGTTATTTGTTTTTCATTTTTCCTGTCTTTTCTCCCCCACTGGTCAGCTCTTTCTTCTTTTTTGCCTTTTTGTTTGACTAATTAATAATTTTAATGGCCCTATTTTATCTCCTTTGTTGTCTTGATAATGTAATTCTATACTGTACTATTACAAAAGTTGCATTATTGTTTTTACACACCTCTAAAATGTATCATAGTCTGCCTTCAGGCAATAGTTATGTCGTTTCACATTTGGTATAAGGATGTTGCAATAGTATTTTTCCCTTTTGGCATTTGTGATAGTGTTGTCATACATTTCATTGATATATAAATGCTGTAAATTCCTTGCTACATTCTTTTTTTTTTAAATAATTTTCTTTTAAAATATTTAGATAATGGTGGGAAAAATGTTATATAGGCTCACAAAATTACCATTTCTTGGATGTTTACATTCTTTTATGTAATTATACATATTCATCTGATAAAATTTTCCAGTGCTTGGAGGGCTTCATTTAACATTTGTTACAGTGCAAGTCTGTTGCAAATGAATTATTTCAGTTTTTATGTGTCTGAATGAAAAAAATATTTATTTTGTCTCATTTTTGAGAGATAGTTTGGGCATAGAATCCTAGGTTGACAGTACTAAAATGCTTGAAAGTATTTATTGAAATAATTTAGAGATATTGCATTGTCACTGATATGAAATCCGTCGTGCTTTGTTCTTCTCTGTGTAACGTGTCTTTTTCTCCTGGTGCTTTAAAAAAAAATTTTTTTTTTAATGTTTATTTATTTTTGAGAGAGAGAGAGAGACAGAGTGTGTGCGGGGAAGGGATACAGAGAAAGGGAGAGACAGAATCCGAAGCAGGATCCAGACTCTGAGCTGTCAACACACATCCTGACGGGGCGCTCAAACCCATGAACCGCGAGATCATGACCTGAGCTGAGGTCAGATGTTTAACCGACTGAATCACCCAGGTGCCCCTCTCCTAGTGTTTTTAAGACTTTCTCTACATCACTGTTACTGAGCAGTTAGATCATGATGCATTCTTTTGTAGTTTTCTTCATGTTTCTTGTGCTTAGTTTTTGTTAAGCTTTACATCTTTATTATTGTCAAATTTGGAGACTTTTAAGCCATTATTTCTTCAGATATGTTTTTTGTCCTCTTTTCCCCTTCTTTGAAGACTCTAATTGCACCTATATTATGCCAGTTAATATTGTCCCACAGGTCAGTGATGCTGTGTTCATTTTTGTTTTTAAGTCTTTTAAAACATTTTTTTTCTCAGTTTCATTTGGGATTATTTTTTAATGTTATTTTTCTAACCGAAGAATACAATGTTGACATACAACGTTATATTAGTTTCATGTATACAACACGGTAATTTGACAATTCTGTACATTACACGTTGTTCACCATGGTAAGTGCAGTTGCCATCTGTCACCGTACAATGTTATTACAGTGTTTTGATTATATTCCTTGTGTTTTATGTTTCATCTCCATGACTATTTTATAACTGATAGATTGTACCTCTTGATCCCCCTCACGTATTTCATTCATCCCCCCTCCCCACTTATTTCCCTCTGGCGTCTACCAGTTTGTACTCTGTATTTATGAATCTTTAAAAAAATTTTTGTTTAATGTTTGTTTATTTTGAGAGGGGGGCGCATACAGCACCAGTAGGGGAGGGGCAGAGAGAGAGGAGAGAAAGAATCCCAGGCAGGCTCAATGCTGTCGGCACAGAGCCCGATGTAGGGTTCAAATTCCTGAAACTGGGATTGTGACCTGAGCTGAGATCAAGAATTAGAGGCTTAACTGACTGAGGCACCAAGGCGCCCTTGTACTTATGAATGTTTTTAAAAATATGGAATACTTCACAAATTTGTGTCATCCTTGTGCAGGGGTTATGCTAATCTTCTCTCTGTTGTTCCAATTTTAGTGCATGTGCTGCCAGAGTGAGCAGTGAGATCGTTTATATTGCTGCATTTTCAAGTTCAGTGATATTTTCTTCTGCAATGTGTAATCTGCTATTAATCTTATCAAGTGTATATTTACTCTCAGATGTCGTAGTTTTATCTGATCTCATTAATCTCATTGTAGTTAAAAAAATTTTTTTTAAATGTTTATTTTTGAGAGAGAGAGAGAGAGAGAGAGAGAGAGAACACGAGCGGGGGAGGGACACAGAGAGGGAGACTCAGAATCTGAAGCAGGCTCTGAGCTCTGAGCTGTCAGTACAGAGCCCAACGTGGGCTCGAACTCATGAACTGCGAGATCAGAACCTGAGCTGAAGTCGGATGTTCAACTGACTGAGCCACCCAGGCACCCTAACTCATTGTAGTTTTAATCATAAATTCAGTATGATCTTTTTTATATCTTCAAGGTTTTACTTAGCATGTTCAATCTTATAGTTTTTTGAACACATGGAATGCAATTATAATACTCATTTTAATGTTCTTGTCTGCTCATTCCATCCTCTGTGTTAGCACTGAGTCTTTTGATTTATCGATTTTTCTTCTCATTGTATATAGTTATTTTTGCCCTTATTTAATGCCCGCTAATTTTTGATTGGATGCCAGACATGCGATGTTTCACCTTGTTGGGTGCTTGAAAATTTTATGATTCTTATAGTCGAATTTTGTTATGGAATGTGGTTATAAATTATTTGGATACAGTTTGATCTTTTCACATTTTGTTTTTGGTATTTATTAGTCAGTACCAGAGTAGCATTTAGCCTAGGGATAATTATTTTCTACTTCTGAGGCAAGACCATTCTAAATCTTCTACCCAATGCCCCCAGGAATTATGAGGGTTTGTAGTCTGGCTCTTGATAACCAGTATTATTCTCAGTCCTTTCTGAGTGTCTATTCTTTTCTCTCTAATCTCTCTGTTGGCTTCCCTCTCCTCCCCCACCGTCATCTGGTAGTCTCATTCCATGCATACTCTGCTTAATACTGAATGGAATCTTCATGCAATTCTCTGGAGTTTTCTCGTGCTTATCTCTTCTCTTTTGATACTCTGCCCTGCGAAATTTTGTGTCTGTTTTCCTGGTCTATCAGACATGTCTCCTCATCTCAGGGAATGTACTGGGCTCACCCCCAGGTTCCCTTGCCTGTGCTTCAGCCTGAAAAGTCTCTCAAGGAAATCAATTGGGACAATCACAGACAGAATCTTGTTTCTCATGTCGTCTTCATAGCCCAGTGTCCAATGTCTTTAAAACCTTTGTTTCAAATATTTTCTTCAGGTTCCTATCTTTTTAGTTGATACTGTAAATTCAGGGTTTTTTTAAATTCATTTTGGGCAGAATTGGAAGTCACAGATTCACTGAAAAAAGCAGGCATCAAGTTGTTTTATAGATTTTGATTTTATACAGATTGTCTGTTAGTAGAGCAGAAGTTATGTGTTGTAGCTAGTAAAATAATTTATAAGTCTAACCAGAAATTGTTCACTAAGGAAGAGATCTATATGACAAATAGCATAAAAGAGATGGTTTGTTGTGGTTCTTATTGATTATTTCATCTTGTGAGTATCTGCATCTATATTTATATTACATCTCTACTTTAGCCTTGATTTTTGAAATGAGAATTTTGATGTGAACAAAATACTTTTGTACATTGAAACCTATGTAACTTCCAGAAGCACAGATTTGTTATTTCTTTGTACAGAAAAAGCTGCAAAATTAGCAAGCCTGTTAGATACGGTTTTCCTATAATTAGTGATAACACCTGACTTAATTCAAAACTTCACTCTAACATAGTAACATTGTGAAAGCACAAAGAACTGAGTTGATTTTTGCAATATGTAACAAATATTTTTGGGTTGAAAATGAGAACATATCATGGGCATGGTAATTAACACTATAAATTGTAGCGAGTCCTTATGCTCAAGACATAGGCATTTTAGGGACACCTGGGTGGGTCAGTCAGTTAAGCATCCCACTTGTGATTTCAGCACAGGTCTTGATTTCACTATTTCACTGTTTCTAGGATTGAGCCCTGTGTGTTGGGCTCTATGCTGATAGCACTTGGGATTCTCTCTCCCTCTCTCTGCCCCTTCCCCGTTTGCACTCTCTCCCCTTCTCTCTCTCTCAAAAATAAATAAGCATTAAAAAAAAAAAAAAAAAGACAGACATTTTAGCACCTTTGCCTGTGAATTTACTGTTAAACCTCACAGTCATAATTTATCCATGTTGTGGTCAGGAAAGCCACTATTGGAGAAATGGACTTGGTCATTGTCATCTTAGGGCAGGTACATCCTTGCCTTAAGTTTACACTGAAGATTGAAGACTTGGGCTTTTAGTTTTATATTAAATCCCATCTCAGTAGGTTTAATGATTTTCTGAAAGAGTATTCAAAATTTGTTATTCAAAAACATATGAAATGTATCCAAGCAGTTTGTCTTTTTTTTTTTTTTTAACATTTATTTATTATTCAGAGACAGAGAGAGACAGACGGTTAGCAGGGGAGGGGCAGAGAGAGAGGGAGACACAGAATCTGGAGCAGGCTCCAGGCTCTGAACTGTCAGCACAGATCCCGACGCAGGGCTTGAACTCACAAACCGAGAGATTGTGACCTGAGCCAAAGTCGGACGCTTAACTGACTGAGCCACCCAGGTGCCCCAAGCAGTTCATCATTTGTAACACATGTATATTACAGTGAAGGATGCCAGTAGTTGGAGAAATTGTGGGCATGGGGAAAAGAGGTATATGGGAAACTTTGTACTTTCCTCTCAGTGTTGCTGTGAACTTAAAAATTACCTAGTGAATAAAGTTTATTAATTAAAAAAGACATAATTTATGTATTCCTAATAAAACTATCATTGGGAAGATGATTTTACAACAAAGAGTTTTGCCCCCTTTCTCATGCTGCCAGTAATCAGAAATGAAAGCAATAACCTACAATACATATGCAAAATTTAGAAGTTGAAGTATGAGTCCCCCAAATGTTCCCTGATGTCCATGCTTATAAAAATGAACCACATTATTCAATTAGACTGGTTCAATTTACAGTATTGGGGAGAAAGGAACATGTGAATTGAAGTTGTTGAACTACAGTGAAATTTGATGCTGAAACTGAATTTAAGCATTTTATAAAATTTTAAGAGATGTTACCTAAGTATTAAGACCATTGTGCAAATCATATATTCAAGTTTTCAAGTGTATGTGTAAACAGACATAGTTTTTTGTTATGAAACTGAGTGAAGTTAAATATTGTGCCATTTAAAGGATTTAAGAATAAGTTGTGTGCTGTGTATCACATTGTGAAATACAAAACTAGCTGTCACCATGTTAGCCCACAAAAATTACAGATTTTGTTTTTCAGATACACAGGCAACAATACCCAATAACCAAAAATAATTGATTAACAATTTTTAAACTTTCTAACATTTAGTTTTTGTTTTTAAATGTTATATGTTTATTTTTGATAGAGGAAGAGAGAGAGAGAGAGAGAGAGAGAATGAATGAATGAGGGGCAAAGAGAGAGGGAGGGAGAGAATCCCAAGCAGGCTCTGCACTGTCAGCTCAGAGCCTGATGTGGAGCTTGAACTCCCGAACCTTGAGATCATGACAGGAATCAAAGTTGGATGCTCAACTGACTGAGCCACCCAGGGACCTACCCCCTAACATTTAGTTTTTAAAATTTAGATTTGACAATATAATCTAAGGTTGTATATATATCGTATATTATTTCATGTGCTAAAGCCGTATTTTCAGCGGTGTGATAGAGTCAGTTTATGCTGCCTCTTGAGGATCAATTTTTAAATATTCAGGATTTTTAAAAATTGTAGTAAGAATACTTAAAATGAGATCTACCCTCTTAACATTTTTCAAGTGTACAATATAGTATTATTGATTATGAGCATAATGCTGTACAGCAGATCTCTGGAACTTACTCATCTTGCATAACTGAAACTTTATACCTGTTGACCAGGATAGCTCTCCATTTCCACCTTCTTGCAGTCCCTGGAAACCAGCATTTTACTCTCTCTTTCTATGAGTTTGACTTTTTAGATACCTCATGTAAGTTGCCTCATGCAGTAATTGTCCTCTACCGACTTATGTCGGTAGCATGATGTCTTGACCTAGTTGTTAACCATTAGTAGCTTGAAGGAGCCAATGGTAGGAATATTTATAGCACATAAAATGGAAAACACCAGAAATCAGGTTTTTGTTTTGTTTTGTTTTGTTTCCAGAGAGCTAGTTTACCAATACATTTCTAAATACTTGACTGAAAGTACTTCTGATGGTTGTTTTTGATTTTTTTCTTACACCTCGCCAGAGTCTTTCATTTATATTACTCTGTCAGGTTCCTGTAGGCATTTGGGGTTCTGATCTTCGACTAGAGGAAAACACAGATATTTCACCAGGCAGGTCAGAGAGAGCTGGGAGCAGTGCTCCCAGCTGACTGATGACCATGGACATTTGCTTCAGTTTGGTCTTTTCCCACCTGGAAATCCACCAGGGCATTTGTGCCACAGAGTCAGGGCAGGCTCCAAATCTATACCTGCCATTTCAGGAGAGTAAGATAGTCCAGGAGAGTATGAATTTTAAGGTATTGATGAACCAGCAGCCATCAAAGAAAGACCCTGACATATAGAGACTCTGGAAGCAGGCAGATTCAGCTTCCTAAGGGGAAAAGGATAGTGAAGGCTGAGTTTGCTGAGGAGCAGTATTCATTCATTCTCTGCTGGACACAACCTCAGTGCTTATTTTTGGACACACATGCATCTATCTTTGGGCACACATGCACCTTTAGGACCTGATCAATTTTATGCAGAACATCTGTTATTCTTCCCAGATGGAGGTTGAAGATACATGGCTCGCCACACTCAGAAGAAAAAAAAAATCTCTCATAAAAACTCAAAAGAAATGCATCAACTTCCATGGCTGGTGCTGAGATAGATCTGTGAAGAGAAGAAACCTCCCAGACAGTGATTGTAGGGGAAGGTTTAGGACAGGAGGACACC